GGTGCCAGGCACACAGTAGGTGCTTAATCAATGCTTTTTGGTTGATTGCCTTCTTGAATGTCTTTCAGCTTTACATCAGCCCAGCTCTGGGGATTCTGGGAGTCTCCCTGTTTCCCAGGATTGTTTTCCTGGCATCATTCTTCCCTTGCCTGATCCAGCCACGTTTCAAGGGTTCTCCAATATCAAGCTAAGGTTTAGCACACAACATCGGGTCTTTGATCTGGAGCTGGAAGGGAGTCAGGAAGACTCCTCTTTCTGAGTTCAAACCCAGCTTCAGACACTTACTGGCTGCGTGACCTGGGCAAGTCACTTCACCCTGTTTGCCTCAGTTTCCTCATCTATAAAATGAGCTGGAGAAGGAAATGGCAAACCACCCCAGTATCTCTGCCAAGAAAACCCCAAATGATGTCACAAAGAGTCAAACACAACGGAAAAAAAAATAAAAAACAACTGAGTAACGACTGAATGTATTCATACGGCATTGGCTGGTCGGTTGTCCTTGGTTCTGGACATCGCCAAGTTAGAGTCAAGTTACATTGTGTGTGACTGAGGCTGAGCAGACCAAGCTGAGCTCGGAAGGCTCTGCCACAGGTTGGGCACAAATGGTCCATGTGAACATCTGGCTTGGATTCTCTAGATTTGCCCAGCTTGCATTTCCTTCTAGCTGTTTCAATTCTGCTTTGCTCATAGAGCGCAGCACCTTCTCTGATGAGGGCAATCCATGCTGGGCAGTCCTGTGCCAGCATTGCCCATCACACAATCGATTCCAAAGTTCTTCTTGAGAGTGTCCTTGTGTCACTTCTGACCACCATATGGCATAAGAATGTGATGAATGGATTACACCAAACAGACCCAGAGTAGTTTGAATGGCCAAGCTGGAGGAGAGATAGGAAAATTTCCCTTCCTCCCTTCTGGGGGACTGTGGGTATAGATCACAGCATATCCTATCAGAGGCAGTTGATACACTAACTTTGATGAATAACTCCCTCCCCCCCACCTTAAGATTCTCAGCTTGGACTAAAGAGGAGAGGGGAACTTTTGGAAATGAAAGTGACCTAGAAACAATGGATTGGAGGGAAGAGGTGAGTGGTGGACTGTGGAAATCCTCCAAGCCAGGGTGTAGTGAGGCTCTGGGGGGTGGGAGGAGTGGAGGGGGTGGGCTCACCAGAGTACTGGAGCAGATGGGAGACATGTTGGGTTCTGGAGCTGAGCCGGTGACAGCCCTTACAATCTTCTCTTGGAGTATCAGGGGCTTTTACCTAGGTGGACCGAAGAAAGCTCAGGAGACAGCCCCTCCCAGAATGAGGGAAGGAGGTAGTGGGTGTCCGGGCCTGAATGAGTTTGTTTTTTGTTTTGTTTTATTTTGATCTCAAGATCATTGAGTGACTCGGAATCACTTTTCCGGTATCTGAGGTCCTGGTTTCCAATCCTGCCCTAGACACTTACTAATTGAGTGACCTCCGACAATCACCTTCACGTCCCTGGGCCTCACTTTCCTCATTTGTTAAATGTGATCCCGTGACTCGATGCTGTCTAAAGCCTGAGCCCTCCCCCTTCCCTCCCAGAGACCCTGACCACTTTACCCCACCCCCACACCAACTCCACATCCCCTTTAAGAAAGCCTCCGTAGCTTGCTGTATCCTCCGTTGCACTTCTCTGACCGTTAGGGCTGCTTCTGGCCTCTCTTCTGTCCTAAATGAGGCCATTTGATTCCATGGATGAATAAGTGCTTTTTTCCAACCTGTCATGCCCGTCCATTGCCTCATGACGAGGCCGGGCGGCTCCACCCTACTGCCAAAAATTCAATTAAGTGTGGTCAGCCCAAATTCTCCAGGCAGTGAGTCAGAGACTGGGCTCACCCACAGGCTCAGGGGGTGGCTGCTGGTTGGTGCAAGGCAGGGTGGGGCTAGGCATTGATTGTGATACCCAGGTGGCTTCTGCATGGGCCAGGCCAGGGAAACTCAGTGCCCAGAGCTCCAGGAAGACCAGCCTCAGACTCCTCCTGTCTGTGGGATCCTGGGCAAAACATCCATTTCAGTCGGATGAGCCTCGGTTTCTTCATCTGTAAAACGGGAATAACTTACAGCGCTTCCATCTTAGGGTGGCTGGGAGATATTTTGGATTAATCATCATGTAAGCCTCTATGAGCATCAGCATCGCATTAATGGGTGACCCAGTTGGCTTTCTTGCTGGTGTTACGGCTTATGAAGGATTCATGTATGTGTCTAGAACCGGAAAGGACCTCAAGGCCATAGCATCCAAACTCCCCATTTCACAGATGCAGCAAATGAGGCCGGAGGAGGCTGTGGATTGTCCATATCCTTGCCCAAGAATCAGATCAAAGATTTCTCCCACCATCTCCCATCTCCCAGTCTCTGCAAAGACTGTGTGCTCCATGCTTGTAATGCTCTCCTTCCTTATCTCCACTTCTTAGAGCCCTGCCCCCCTTCAGTTCCTGGGCCACCTCTGGGGGGGTCCTTCCTGATCATCCCATCCCCGCTCCAATTATGTGTGCGCCGGAAATTACTTTGTTCATATTTTGGTTTTGTTTATCTGTGTCTTTCTACCTAGTAGAATGTAAGCTCCTTGAGGGCAGGGGACTTTTCTTTCTCCTCAGTCTCTGGAGCGGCAGAGATGGCTGTGGCTCCATAGCCAGCACCTTTCCCACACCAGGACACTGTCTCCTTGTTTTCTTCCTAATAATTTGCTGAGAGTAACTTCTTTAAGGGAAGGAAGGATTTGAGGGGGTGGGCAGGTAGAAAGGAAAGATCACCTGGAACCATATGTATGGGAGGAGGGGAACTGAAATAAAGGAAACGGGGCAACCCGAGGAGATGGAGCAGTTGGTGTGGAAAGAGCCAAGGCCAAGAGGTGGGAGGGGAACCCAGCAAGGAAGGAGAAAAGAGACCAGAGAACTGTCTTGGCCCCCTTTGAAACTTTGCCTTGGGCCATCAGAGACCATCTTCCTTCTGCGGATGGGACAATAGACACAAGGAAGTTAGCAGAATTCCAAGTTGCGGCCACGAGCCAATGATAGAGCGGGGCCAGAAGGCCAGATCTCCTAATGCTCACCTGGTTCTGTTCTCCTTTATCAACACCACACTCTTGAAGGACCGTCACGAGCCACTAAAAACCCATGATCTATGCATACAAAGCCATCACTCTAAATGGAGAGCCATGCTGGTAAAGTGGTGACCGCTCTATTTTTTGTTCACTATGTTTTGTTGTTCAGTCATGTCTGACTCTCTGTGACCCCATTTGGGGTTATCTTGGTAAAGATGCTGGGTGGTTTGCCATTTCCTTCTCCAGCTCATTTTACAGATGAGGAAACTGAGGCAAACAGGGTGAAGTGACTTGCCCAGGGTCACACAGCTAGTAAGTGTCTGAGGTCCCTATTACCTCCAGAGTCGAATGTACATTCTTCTGTTGAGCATTTAAAGACCTTCACAACCTGGCTCCAGCCCAGCTGGAGCAATTCATCCGTCCATCAATCTCCCAATGCATTCTGCATTCCAGCCATACTGGCCTTCTAGCTGGTCCTCACACCCAACATGCCATCTCCAATGGTTCTCTGAGCCTGGAATGCACACCCTCCTCACCACGAATGCTCAAAATCGCTAGCTTCCTCCAACGCTCAGCTATGCACCACATTTAATGCTTTTCCTGATCCCAGAGACAAACCAGTGCCTCCTCCCCCCTCCCATTTACGGTGCCTTTATATTCTACATGCTTATACATGGACTTGGTCTTTCCTTGGTTGAATATAAGCTCCTCGAGGGGAGAGACATTTGTTTTTGTCTTTGTATCCTCAGCACTTAGCCTAACAGCTGGCACATTGCAGACCCTTGAGAAATCCCAGAATCATAGAATTTGGAGTCAGAAGGTGACTCAGCAGTCATCAAATCCAACCCACAATGTATAAAAGGAGTTCCCACTCTAACATAGGTCAGGCATGTTTTCTGTGTTACCCCAATGAGGGGGTTATCCTGGGTGACCTCCAAGATTCCCGCTAAACTTTGGACAAGCAGCCATGTGGTCCATCCTGTACACAAAAGGAATCTTTTTCAAAATCTAATGCTAGGTTATATTTATGTATAATTTTTGAAGGTTATGTTACAACCTATTATAATGTGGTTGAACTAGATGGTTGACAACTGCCATATGCCTGTTGGGAGATTGATGGATGGATGAATTGCTTCTGCTCTTACATCCTTGACTGACATTACAATAGATGGAATCTTATCTTACTGCAGATAGAGGATACCCCAAAGAGCTTGACCTCAGCACCACCCTGAGCACCATTCTGAGCTACCTCCAGCACACCCCAGCCTAGATATCACATAGCTCCTCTAGGGTTATGGTTTGTTTTACGGAGACGAAGTCTCTGAAATAGATCTTAGGAGCATATGATTCCCATTAGGGGCTCAGCAAAAGCTACAAGAATTTCTTTGAACACAAAGTCAGATAGCTGTCTGGAACCACGGACTTCAATTCTGCAGCAGACATGAGCAGTCAAAAGGACAGACTTAATCTTCTTCTGAGGGCCTTTGGGATGGCTATTTTTTTTTTTAAAGCAGCCATCAGAAGGGGTTAATGTTCTCTGGTTCTGAGTCGGGGCTAATCAGAGAGCCTCAAGCTAGGAGTCATTTTTCTGGTAGCCACCATGGGAGGCAGACCCCAGGCCCTAAAATTCTTTTCCCTTCTTTGGTATCTGAGTCATCCATGGTATTTGAGCTGTCAGAAAACATTTTGTATATGAAAGTTACTTGTACCTTATGCCTTTTAGAACAGGGCATGATTAAGCGGTAGCACATAAGTTTGAGTTATCAAATATTATCTGAAGCCACCTGACTCTCTGGGGCTAAACTGATTTTTTTCGCAACCTGAAATGACTGCCAGGATATACAGATTGCTCCACATTTTGCCCAGGAAGGATGTGGGTGTGACAGTGAGTAGAATGTTAATGTACATGTAAATATTGTTCTCTCTCCTGTTCTCAGGTAGCCCAATCTTCTGGAGTTCAAGGTGACTGACCTTTAGTTGTTCTGCTGCTGATCTTAACAACATGGAGACTAAGGAGGCGGAAGAGTTGGGACAATGCCAGGGGAAGACCACTGCTAGTGGTCTTTGGAAGGCCGGCGATGAGAGGACTCATCCTTCCTCTGATGAAGAGGAGGAATCAGACAATGCTGACCCTTTGACGGGAGGAAGAGAATCACCACGATGCCACATCCCTCTCCGAAGGAATTCCATATACTACAGTTCCATCAGGCACTGGAGTGGAAGAAAAAGTAGGAATCGCCTAGAAAAGAGCAGTGACCAGGCTCCAGGTCAGTACCAAGGCCAGTGGTTACTGTTGGGTAATGCTTGCTGAGATTTGGGGTCATTTGGAAGTTATGAGAAACGGAGGAAGGGTAGCGTGGGTGGTCTTGAAGATGAGGAGGCAATGGAAAGATACCAAGGACTTGGGTCCTAATCTTGGCTCCACCATTTACTTGGGCAAATCACTTCCTTAGGCCTCAGTTCCCTTATTTATAAAATGAGAAATTTTCACTACCCTTCTAGCTCTAAGTCTATAATCTCTGGGCCTTCCTGGGCCTCAGTTTCCCTCACTGTAAAACAAGAGGGTTGGACTAGATGTCTCTAGGGCTCCTTCAAGCTTTAAATTTGTAATCATTTATCTAGAGAAAGGGAAGACTGAAGCAGCTGTACAAACAATAGAGGTGTTTCCCAAAGGTGACTGAGTTATTTTAGGAGAAAGGATTTGTCAACTTAAGTACCATGTGACTCTCATGTCAGAGGATGTCCTGACCCAAAGGGCATAGGTGGCGCCCCTGAGGATTTCCTTCCCCTTTCTGCTCTCCATCCTCTCCCACAAAACCTGGGACAATATATGTTTTCCTGGTGTCCACAGTATATCAGTACTGACTCCCCATCTGACAGCTCACCATCCTAAGAAGAAAACTGTATTAAAGGGAAGAGCAAATGGGGCAGCTAGATGGCACAGTGGATAGAGCACTGGCCCTGGAGTCAGGAGGACCTGAGTTCAAATCCGGCCTCAGACATATAACACTTACTAGCTGTGTGACCTTGGGCAAGTCACTTAACCCCATTGTCTAGCCCCCCCACAAAAAAGGACATTCTTGAATGAGTGACCTTTGATCCCCAAAAGGCCAGAAAGTCCCGGGGTCCTTTGCAGTCCTGGGTACAAGAGTTCTCCTGGCGGAGGCCAGCTCCCCTCTGTCCAACCTTGGTGTGCTTGCCCCAAGCTGGGGGAATGGATGGAAGGGGGAGCTTTCTGGCTTCCATTCCTGACTTCCAGCTCACACAGAGCCAGGCAATCCTCCAGGTGCTCAGGTAAGATGAGGACAAGTCTCATCTTCTGTACTTTCTCCTTCCTAAAGGTCCTTCCCTTAACCCTTGGTTAGGTCATACCTGCTTGTCCCTTCTCTTCTCTCCCCGCCTTTGATCTCTCCTAGTGACCAGGCCCAGGCCGTCTGCTTGTTGCTAACAAGATTGATTTTCCTCCATTATTCCAACAGGATTGAGGGAGGAAAGGGCCAGCACCCCCAGCACCCACTATATTTATTTTTAAGTGAATGTGTTTTTTGTTGTGAACTTAATCACCAACAAACACAGAAGTTTCCATATACAAAGAACCAGAAAGGCAGATATAAGAAACCATGGATTTCTCTTGCTCTGTTTGTTTTTAAAGAAGCATAATGTGCATTATCTGTATGGAGATATAGAAGCTCTAATAGTTTAAAAGTGCACCAAGACTTTTAGGATACCCTGTAGATGTATGTCATAATAATAGCTAACATTTACAAAGTACCTACTATGTATCAGGCACTGTGCTAAGTGCTTTACAATTATGATCCCATTTGATCCTCACAACTACCCTTGGAGGTAGGGGGTCTTATAATCCCCATTTTATAGATGGGGAAACAGGCAAATAAAGGTTAGGGTCAGATAGCTCAGTCATTTCAGTTGTGTCTGACTCTTTATGACCCCATTTAGGGTTTTCTTGGTAGAGACACTAGAGTGGTTTGCCATTTCTTTCTCCAGCTCATTTTACAGATGAGGAAACTGGGGCAAACAGGGTAAAGGGACTCACCTAGGGTCACACAGCTAATAAGTGTCTGAGGCCAGATTAGAACTCAGGTCTTCTTGCCTCCACATTTGGCACTCTCTGCAGCTGCCCTAATATGTTATGTAGATAAATAAACAAAATTGTAACATAACTTCTGTATTTGCATTCCCTGCTGTATTTCTTGGGTTTCTTCTGCGTATTTTTGAAAAAAAAAAAGTTTCACTGATGCTTTTTTTTTTTTTGCATATCTATCACCCACCCACCCAAATATAAGCCTCCTTGGACAATTAGACTGTCCTGTTTTCTCATAGTGAGGGAGTGGGGCTGAGAGGTTTTTGTTGTGAGAAGGGAAGATGAGATATGGTGCTTGTTGGAAATGAGTAAGCACTGGGCCCCTTTGAAGGCATAGACCAGGGTTGGGGACTTTACAGCAGAAATGCCAGGATCCCACACCTTTTTCCTTTCAGTGCCCATGTGGGAAGGAATGCTAACTATGTACACTCTGAGGCTGGGAGTCTTGTGAGTATCAGTAGATAGAGCTCTTGACTCCAGAACCAGACAGCCTGAGTTCAGATCTTGTCTCTCTCACTTACTGCCGGTGTGACCTTGGGTCTCCCTTCCCTTCCTCTCTCTGGACCTCAGTTTCCTCCTTTAGAATGACCTCCAAGGTCTCGTCTAGATCCCTGATGCCATAAGTATTTTTTTCACATATGTCATAAGAGGGGTGGGTACCAATTGGATCTCAGGGCTGCCAAGGTCGCTTCCAATTCTTGGATTCAATGATTATTCCTGGGTGATCTCTGAGTTCCCTTTCAGGTCCCATGATCCCAATCAGCTTGAAAGCCATTTAAGTCTGGCTGCAGGGGTAGCGAGGCTGCCAGCCACTGCATTAGACCAAGAATACTGGCTGTATATTCTTAGCCAAAAAAGCAGGATCTGCCAAGCAGTTCTGTAGCCTGCCAAACACAGCTGCAAAGGGAGTTTCTTGGACCAGCTGCCCCTCGGGCCCCCAAATCCAATTCTACGGTTCTATGAAATTGGATCTGTTAGAAATGTCATCTCCACTTTGCCCCAAAGATAAACGTGTTGTCATTTATATGACCAGCCCTGCATGGACGTCTTTGTTAAATGAAGCTGCCCTACTTACACAAAGTGCTCTTGACTTTCATTTCTGGGAAATTGTTCCTTAAGCCTGGGCCCGTTTCTCTGCTGGGTACACTCTGCCCCAGCCTCAGAGATGAAGGGTCCTCCTCTGACTCTTAACCTACCTCCTCGGACACTGTTGGCAAGAGAGGAGATTGAAACCAGCTAATTGAAGAGCAAGCTACAGTAAGAGTTACTGAACTTTTAACAGGGTGAGGAGCTGAAAGGGACCAGAGGGACAATGTAGTCCAATGACCTCATTTCATTTCATTTTAAACATTTTACTGATGCTTTTTTGTTTTTATAACATAGTCATTTTTGAAGCTATTCCTTACCCCTCCCCCCACCTCTCCATGGGCACCGAACCTCTTTTCCTCCAAACAAAGGGAAAAACAGTTCAGCAAAACTGGTGGAAACATCAATCGCTGTCTGCCTCAGTTTTCGTGTCTGTAAAATGGATATAATAATAGTACCTAGCTCCCAGGGTTGTTGGGAGAATAAAATGATATAATGTTTGTAAAGTGCCCTATAAATACCTTCTCTTATCTGCCTGTACTGAAATGTTATGTACAGGCAGATAAGAAAAACTCAGAGCATTTTTTTAAAAAGTCTTTTTCTCTCCTTTGTGGGGCTTTCACAGAATTCCCCATAAAGGTGGAGTCCATTTCTGCTGGGATCTCTGTAAAGCTGTCTTTCCCTACTGGGTCTAGTTTGTCCTTAGCTCCTTGGTAAGGACACTGACATTGGCTGTTCCAGGGACATTACTAGGGTGCTGGTGGGAAATCCAAAATCTGTCAGATCTTTTGAAGTTTGTAAGGTCTTCCTCTGGTCAAGGCAGTAGGGTAATGGTAGAGTGGGAAAGAGGAGACAGGCTCTTATTCTCCCATCCTCCCCCTAAGTAATTCCATCTCAGAGCCTGGCTGGGACTGCTCCTTTCTCTAGGATGCCTTACACTCAGACGTTCAATTTCAACCTAACTTCTCCTTTTAACACAAACCCCACAGAATGTGACTTTTGCCTTTCAGCCAACCCCAATACACTTCATGCCCAGGAGCACTCTAGCTCATCCAAGGACCTCCACTCTTTCCCAGCTGATCAATAACCTTTCGCACCTAGTCCATTGCCTTTGATTGATAGATTAAATAGAGGTGTTCTTACACGACAAAGACATCACCATCTTGTTAGTTATTTTTAGTGAAGTACAATGATTGATTGAGTCAATTGGGAATTCCTGGCCCTCCATAATTATTGAGGTAAGGGAATGGAACACTCGTCTTACATAGATAATTAAAATTATTCTTAAAAAAGAAAAAAGAACCGGAAAGTGACACTCTATTAGATTTCTAGTTTTTCTTTTCCAAAAGTCTAAAAAAAAACCTGCTTTAGTGCTTGGGTAGGTTTTGATTTTTTTGGTGCAGGTTTGGAATAAAGAGGTGTCTGGGTCTAACATAGTCACTTTCTCCATTCTATTTGCATCCCCATAATCATACTGTGCTCATGAAAGATTGGAGACTCAAGTGCCTGGTCATGAAGTGTGTAACAAACTAAAGTTTATTCTCTTTTAGGGACAGGAGACAGGGATGTCCTCACTACCACCTACCATATGGAGTAGTGGATAGAATGCTGGACCTCAACTTAGAAAGGGCTGGGTTCACATCCTGCCTCTGATACCTAACTTACCCGGTTACCAAGGCAAACTGTTTAATCTCTCAGTCTTACTTTCTTTGTCTGTTAAATGGGCACAAATGCCAGCAATTATTATCTTTTGGCTTTCTCCTTCTAGACATATAAATGTTACTGCTCTAAGAGTACAGAGACTGTCTAGGAAAGGGGGCATTACATCTCTGACTTGGGGCCTTTGTTAAATGTGCTAGGTTCATGGGAAAACAGAAGATCTACGAAGGAGCCCCTGGGCTTGAATTTGTCTGGAAAGCCAGCCGGTCTCGCCCCTGCACATCGTGGGGAAAAGAGGTAGGTGAAGAAGTGAATTGTGAGCGCTATGGCCAGAATAGAGCACTGAGGGGAGGGAAGGGGAGAAGAGGGAAGGGGAGAGAGAGATCTCTGACTACTTCTCTACCAGAGTGTGATTTCTGACTGGGGACTTGGAGATGAAAAAAAAAGTTATTAATTCACTTTTTACAACTTCCAATGGCAGAGAGAACTCACGGGCTGTGGTCTCTCTGGGCAATTGAATTAACCAGAGTGGCTGGGTAGCCGACCTTCACCAGAGCCTGGTTTGGAAAACCCCTACTACTATAAAGGGGAGGAGGGGGACGGACACACTGAGGGCATGTACCCCACCCACAAAGAGAGAAGGGGAGGGGGGAGAGGTGACTGCCAGCCCCGGCCTTGCGGCACACATTGTCTCCCCCGATATAGGTGAGCTCTTGAGGGACTGGAGATGTTTCATACACCTGGATTCTGGCCTCTCCTTTGACACATCCTTGCTGTGTGACCCTGGACATATATTCTGGACCTCTCAGTGCTGCAGGCAGCTCCCTATTCCATAAGTGGCAGGGAAGAGGCTGACCTGCATTGGTAGAGAGTGTTTCCTCACTGGAAACTTCCTATACCAATGAAAACCCAGTTCCCATTCCTCTTCCCTCTCCTCAACTCCTAGCTGCTTAATAAATGTTTGCTGATTGATTGTGGTTTCAAATACTTTTGCTGTGTGACCCTCGGTAAGCCATTTAACCTTACTGGCACTGTTTCCTCATCTGTCACATGGGGATGACGCTACCATGGCATGCTCTGAGGACCCAATGAGATTACATATGTAAAATGCTTTGTTATTGCTCTCATTATTTTGCAGAGTGGCCCAAGCTCAGCAGACTCACTTTTGACACTTAAAGTCAAGAGAAGAGGTCTTGGATTAAGTAGCAAAGATTTAGCAAAAGAAACGTAAAGAGAAATCCCATTGGTGGATTTGCTTCTCGTTCTTTCGTTTGGACATCTGTAAAGAATGCTAGCTGGATCAAGGTGGAGAAGGGATCAGAAATCCCCCACTGCCCCCACGCCCATCATCTTGGGCAGAGGGCAGAAGGTGACCCAAGGATGCACTTTAATCCCCAGCACCTGCAGACATTGGGAGGGGTGGTGGGCTCGGGCTCCTCCGTGCCCTCAGCCCTCTGAGGGCACATCTGACTCCTGACTGCCTGCTTTTCCTCTGACATGTGTAATTGGCACCATCAGCCCCTGGCATGCTGACACCACCAGCCATGCAGTTCTGCCAGCTACAAATTAAGATCTTAACTTGGGAACAAGGAACAATTATGGGCTCTGTGTGGGCCAGGACTGAAATCTTCTTTATGACTTCTCATTGGTGACATTGCTCTGATAACTGTCACATCCCCGTCCAGTTAGCTACATTAACTCCCTTGACCCTTGACAGGACCACTGACTGGGGACTTAAAAGAATCTAAGAGGTCGGCTAGTCCAAGCCCCCTTGTTACAGATGAGGACACTGAGGCCCAGAGAGATGAGTGACTTCTCCTTGATCACGCAAAGGAAAAGCCCAAACGGTCCCTGTCCTCAAGGGGCTTATATTCTAAGGGGAAGACAACATACGCACAAATGGGGAGATACATGATACACACTTGGGTCTTGCTTGATCCTCGCAATAGCCCTGCCAGACTTAATACCACAGATATGATTGTGACCATTCTAGAGGCTTAGACACTTGCCCGGGTCATGCAGACATGAGGCAGAATCTGGGCCAAGGCTCTTCTGTCTCTAGACCCCAACCCAGAGTCCTCAGCTGGCTTTTAAGAACTTTTCCCAACTGCTCCCAACCCCACTTCAAGGCTCATTCTATTTTGCTGCCCTTCATAGCCCCTTTGATGTGATTCTTGCCAAAGGACATTATCTCCCCTCTCTCCCTTTTTCACAAGCTGGCCCCAGGCCTGGCTCTCTTCATCTTTGGTTTTTTGGTTTTTTGGTTTTTTTGGCTAGGCAATGGGGTTAAGTGACTTGCCCAGAGTCACACAGCTAGTAAGTATTATGTGTCTGAGGTCGGATTTGAACTCAGGTTCTCCTGAATCCAGCACCGGTGCTCTATCCACTGCACCACCTAGCTGCCCCCTCTCTTCAGCTTTGCCTCCTGGGGTCCCAAGCTTCCTTAAAGCTCAGCCCAGATATTGCTTCCTCAGGAGGCTTTCCCTGGTCCCAGATGTTAGCGTCTATTCTGAAAAAAAAAACTACATTTTGTATTTATCTTGCCTAAGAAAAGCAGGGTAGTTTATTGGCTAGAGAGCTGGCCTCAGATCCAGGAAGACCTGGGTTCAAATCCTGCCTCTGCCACATGTGGACTCTGTGACCCTGAGGAAGTCGTTCAACCAGTGCTCTTGGCAATTGCAGATAATGATAAATAGCATTTCAATAGCATTTCAAGGGTGGCAAAGTGCTTTACATATGCTGCCTCATTTGGTCTTCACAACGATCCTGTCATGTTGGTGCTATTATTATCCCCGTTTTAGAGATGAGGCTAGAGCAGTTCAATGACTTGCACAAGGTCACACACTTAGTTGCAGGAAACTGGACTTTTTGGTAGGCAGCGGCGAAGCGTTGAGGGCAGCAGCATAACTAAGGGTGGGCCACTGGAGCTTTGTGCCAGGGCAGAGAAATTGTGTAGCTTCCAATAGCGTGATCCTTGGGGTACACCAACACACCTCAGAAGTACCATCTGACCCTGGAGCCTTTCTCTGACTGGAGTTTGGAGGGCTCCTCTCAGAATCTCCATTTGAGGAGGCCAGCTATCTCTTCATTTCTCGCTGGGCTTCTCCATCATTCCTCCTTCTCACCAGTTATCCTCTCCCCCACTCCACCCCCTCTTTCAGATCCTTTTATATGTCGATGCCTCATGAGACTTCACAGGAAGGTCCACAGCTCTGGAGCAAGAAGAGACCTTAGAGATGATCGTTGTTATAGATGGGTAAACAAGAATCAGAAACATTAAGTGACTTGCCCAGGGTCACACGGGGAGTGAGAGGTCGAGCCGGGATTTGAATCCAGGTCCTTTGACTCCAGAGCCACACTCTCCCCCCAGCCCCCTTTTTCTGGTAGCTTTATCACAACTGTTAGAAGTGGGAGGGAACATAGGACCATAAATTTAGAGCTAGAAGGGCCCTTAGATATAATCTTGTCCAAGCCCCTCATTCTACAGACATTTACTGACTGTTCCTTAGGGTGACCTCACCAACAAATATTCTTTCTTATCTTATCTCCCATGCAGCTCCTTGGTTGGGTCCTACCATCAAGGACGTCAGTTAGTCAACAGTCAATAAACATGTACTAATATAGGATCTCAGAGTCCCACCCTCTTCTTTTACAGTTGAGTAAACTGAGGCACAGATAGGTGAAGTGATTTGCCAAGTAAGGGTGTTTCTTTCTTCACAGGGGTTCAATGAGGAAGGAACTGCAATCATCATTATACCCATTTTAAAGATGAAGAAAGTGAGACTCAGAGACAATAACCTCTACATCGTCACATAGCCGATCAGTATCAAGGCTAGTGTTTGAATCTAGGTCTTGAGGCTCTTGGTGATTAGCAACAGACACAAAGTTTAAAGGGAAAAACAGCAATGCCTTCAGTGAAGTCTGAAGCCCATAGGGGATCACTGGCTCTAGAGTTCTCCATCATCTTCCCTTCCAGGGAAATCCAAGCAGCCAGAGGGACAGAGTGGATTAGTGGGTGGAGTGAGTCAGGAGAACCTGGGTTCTAATCCAGCCTCTAAGCTAGCTATGTGTGGCCCTGGGCAAGTCACTTAAAGGGTGTCCTCCCCCATCTGTAAAAGAAGAAAGGTGGAATTAGATACTCAGAGGAAAGCTAGAAGGGCAGAGGCAGGGGTGAAGGTGGATATGGAGGTGAGATAGGGAGAGAAACAAAGCAAAAGATCCCCATTGTCGGGTAAGCCGGGTAATTCACTGGAGAGACCAAACCAGATTTGGAGTCAGGAAGAACTGAGTTCAGATCCCATCTCTGTCACTTACTAGCTGTGTGGACCTCTCCCCCCACAAGTCACTTAAGTTCTGTTTGCCTTGGTTTCCTTATATGTAGACTATCAGGGGGGAGGGATTATCCACAGAATTTCAGAGATGTAAGGGGTGTCAGCTGCAGTCCATCCCTTACCTGAGAAAGAATCCACACAACCACACACCTGGAAATTGGCAGATGAGGAGGATGGAGGCAAATTTATTGACAATGGAGTGGTTCTTCCAGAGGAAACGGTGAAGGGGGCTAAATGCTGGCTAGAGGGCCCTGAGGAAGCCTAGAATTGGAGGCAGGTTTTAGGAGGTTTTAGCATGCTCTTAGCCAGTCATGGGGTTGGATAACTGGGGGGGGGGCAAGGAGGCAGCCCGACAGGGAGTGGATTCATGTAGCCCCTTTCCTCCAGAGGTCCCTCCAACTCCTTCCCATTGGACGCCCTGATTGAGCCCACAGGACCTAGATGAGCTTAGCTTCCAAGCTAGGAGAGGGGTACAGGAGTCCGGGAGGCCACTATCAGGATGCTGGGCCCTGGCCAAGCACCTCCTCCAGGCAGGCCTTGGCCATCCAACTCCAGATGACCCCCTGCTGAGCTCCCTCCCCCATCATCTTCAAAGCCAGCTCCACCGAGGACAGTGAAGACAAAGGGGAAGGAGAGTCACTGAAGAAGCCGAGGGCGTGGGGTTGGCCCATAGGAACCCCCCAGAGCTAGAAGGGACTGCAGAGGTCATCCAGGACACCCTTCATTTTACAGAAAAGCAAACCAAGGCTGAGAGGGGTCAAGGAAGCATTGCCCACAGTTACGCAGCTAGTGAGTGTCAAAGGCAGGATTTGAACCCAGAACATCTAACACTTTCTGTACTTCTCCCATACTGCTTGTTAGACTGGCTGTGAGCTCAGTCCTCCTCAGATTTCCATTTCAGAAAGAAGTTAAAATCGGACACCAAATTTAAAAACTGGCACCTCTTTACTAGACTATAAACTCCATGCGGGCAGGGATCCATGCCTTACCCCCTCCAGGGCCAGACCCACAGTAGAGGCTTAACAAATGTTTGTTGAATTGTGTTGTGTTATTGTGACGTCTAGCTCTGGAGTCTGAGGACCTGGGCTCAAAAGACACCTCTAATAGTGACCACCTGTGTGACAATATCGGGCCAGTTACAAGCTTCCCAAACCTGTATTTCCTCGATTCTAAAGGAAAGGGTTGGATAAGGGGGCTTCAGAGGCCCCTGCCCACTCTAACTCCAGGACCCGAGAATCTCTCCTGGCCTCAATCTTCTCCTCTGAAAAAGGAGGGGGTTGGACAAGATGATCCCTCGGAGCTTCAGACCCTGTCCTGGGACTGGCTGATCTGGCCAGAGGCACGTCTGTTCCTTGGACCAGCTGTGTACTTCCTTCCAGATGCTCCCATAGGATCACATACCATTTCCCTTCCCTCTTCAACATCCTCGCTCCCTCCCCCCCTCCTCCTTCTCTCTCTTTCTCTCATTCCTCCTCTGGAATATCGTACTACTGTCTTTGCCAAATTTAATCAACCATTTTCTCTCTCTCCCACCTCTTCCCTTCCTGACCAGTAGATAACAGAAGACTGTTGGCGAATCCAGTAAGTGTCTCCTCCCTCTCCTCCATCGCTCCTTCAACACATCCTCGGGGGCCCCTCCCCACCCCATCCTTAGGGGGCCTGAAGGATGAGCACCCCTCCAAGGGAGGCACCGCTGGAGAACCCCTCATTTTCTTAGGCCCTGGGGTGGTGGGGACTGAGCAGCATCCTGGCCCCAGCTTCTCCATTATCTGAGAGCCCAGGGCCCAACTTCCACCCCCTCCTGGTCATTTCCAAGGGAAGGATAAAGTAACTCCCTCCTCTTAGAAGTGCAGGCTGGGTGGAGAGGGGGAGTTCCCCAATGTTCTCAGGTTAGTGAGATGGCTCTGGTTAAACCGCCTTTCCCTTTTTTCAAGGTAAAATCGGGGAAATTTCCCTTTTCTTCCTAGAGAAGGTGAGGGACCTGAAGGAAATTCTTCTTACCCCATTTTGGAATCTGATCCATATTCCCCTCAGGGGCACTTGGAACCAGCCAGCCCCAGCTCCACCCCCACCCCCACTTCCTGGCCACCTCCAGTCCAAGGAGATGATGCTGAAAATAGTCTGAAGGGACTAGGCATCTTCTAATTCAGTGGCCCCGTGGCTTTAGAGTCTGAGAACCTGGGTTCAGATTCTGACCCTGTAAAGGACTAGCTGTGGGCAGGTCTCTTCTCCTCTCCAGAGGTCAATTTCTTCTTCGAAAATGAGGGGTCAGACCTCTGAGGTTTTCTTTCAGCTCCAAAGCTTTCACTCAACAAGAGTTCAATCAGGGCGTACAATGGGCTAAGCCTGGTGCAGTCTTGGGGATCCAAAGGAAAGGTACCTTGTAGCAGGTGGCAGCTGAGTTCTGAAGGCATCCTGAGAGGTGGAGGTCAGAGAAGAGAGGCAACCAGTGATCCTGGCCTTGGAGGAAGATCTGGGAGCAGGATCCCGGTGCTAATGTCAGGAACAGGCTGGGAAAGTGGTTTCCCCCTGGCCTTCAGCTTCCTGATTTGTAAAATGAAGGAGCTGGACTAGAAGACCTTGAGTCCTTAATTGGTGACAGTATCTAGTAAAAAGTCTGCTGACCTCCAGGCCAGAAGAAACCCCAAGTGGGATCTCAGTGCAGTCGGTCAGTAGCTGGGTGACCTTGGCTAAGCTGCTTGCCCTCTCTGTAAAACGGGGGCTGTTGTGAGGAAAGTGCTTCAAAGCCAAATAAAATCAGAATCAAAAGGATCTCCAAGGCGAGGTAAACTAACTCTCTTACTTTACAGATGAGCAAACTGAAGCCCAGAGAAGTTAAATGACCTGTCCAAGGTCACTCAAGCAGGAAATGGCAAAGCCAAGATTCAAACCCTAGTCATCAAACTCAAGGCACCATCTAGATTTAGGGCTGAAAGGGCCCTTAATGCTCACCTAGCTCATCCACAGGCCCAGGAAGGGAAGAGACTTGCCCAAGGTCACACAGCTAAGTAGGAGACACAACCAAGCGTTGTGTGCCAAAGCCAGCCCAGTTTTGTGCGGGTGGATCAGTGTTCCCTTATAGCCCCGTGGCCCACCAGGCCTTCCAGCTCGGGAGTCGGCCCCTGCCCAGGGCTGCCCTTCGCTGCCTGTCCAGCCTCCCGCTGCCCAGCTCTGCTCCCCTCCGCCTGTGCAGCCTCCCGATGCCCAGGTCTGCTCCCCGCTGCCTGTCCATGCCTGTGCTGCCCAGCTCTGCTCTGCCCTGCCCTGTGCTGCCCTGCGCTGCCCTGCCCGGCCCAGCCCAGCCCTGCCCGGCCCTGCCCTGCTCTGCCCTGTTTTAAGCTGCCCTGCCCTGCGCTGCCCTGCGCTGCCCTGCGCTGCCCTGCGCTGCCCTGCCCTGCCCTGCCCTGCCCTGCCCTGCGCTGCCCTGCCCAGCCCTGCCCGGCCCAGCCCTGCGCTACGCGGCGCTGCCTCCTCTCGGGGCGCTCCTGATGCTGCTGTGGGCGCCGCGTCGCAGCCGCTGTGACCGCCGCCTCCCGCCTCCCGCCTCTCCTGTTACCGTGGCAACCCCCAGGAGCCTGCCAGGCAGCAGCAGCAGTTTAGTGGAGCGGGGTAGCGGCGGCGGCAGCAGCGGCAGCTCCCGCGGGGTCCAGCCCGCGCCCCGCACGGCCCTCCTGGAGCCAGCCCGCGTGCTGCGCCCGCCCCAGCTCCCTCCGGCCCGCGCCTGCCCGCCAGCCCGGGACCCTCATGGAGCTGCTGGCTGCCGCCTTCAGTGCTGCCTGCGCCGTGGACCATGAGGGCTCCTCCTCGGAGAGCGACCCCCGGGACTCTGCGGCTGGGCACCTGGCCAGCAGGTGAGGGGGGCCTCGGCCCCTGGTCCGCACTGCCCTCTCCTTCCCTGCCCACCTGGCCCATCGGGGCGCTGCTGCCCACGCCCGCCAGAGCCCGCACACCGCCCCCTCGGGCTGCTGGCACTGGCCGCCTCCGGGAGCGCCGGCTGCTCCGCACTGCTCTGGGGGCTCGTTCTCCTTTGGCCTCCCCTTGGCAGTCCTGCCTGCGCCCCTTTCCCTCGCTTCAGCCTTGAGTGCCTCTCCCCTCCGTGCTCTCCCGTGGCCCCCTGTCCCTCTCCCCCCCGTGCGC